CAGATCCGACCGATGTACTACCAGACCGATGAAGAGCAAATGTGAGTTCCACCAGTGTAAAGGGGCGATTATAATCATAGAGACAATCAGCCCAAAAGGAAAGAGGCGATCACTCTGGCCGAGACTTGATGGCCAAAAAGGCAGGGGAAGAAACAGAAGTGCTAGAAGCACGAAAAAAGCTGTGGCCGAGAGCCTCAGCAATGCTCTGGACATCAGCAACTTCCTGGCCATACCTCGCAGTGACTTTCCGAATCTTGTCCCATACAGTTTTGGAACTGGTGGTAGAAGAAATGCTAGTAGTGAACTTAATCCAAGGCTCCTTTTGGCTTTGACATTGAACCTGCCGAGCATGGGCTCCCTGATAAACAATGCAGTTAGAAAGAGAAGGATACTGTCGAAAGGTATCCCAGGCCCGTTTTTGAGCTTTCTGTGCCTCCTGGTAGGCAGGACTCCACCATGGACGAGGATACCATGGAAAACGTGTCGAGGTCTTAGGAATAAAATGAGCAGCTGCCTGGACAATACAGTCAGTCACCGCAACCACACAGTCGTCTATTGATGGCAGACAGACGAAGGCAGGATCAAGTTCAGAGAGAGAGGTGAAAGATGGCCAGTTAGCCTGGTGCAGCTTCCACCATGGCACTAGGGTCGGGTGGCATCGACCATGGCCAACCTCCCTCATAATGATAGGAAAATGATCACTGCCCCATGGGTCACTGTCAATCATCCAAGAAAGGCGAGTGAAAAGTGAAGGGGAGCAAATCGAGAGATCAATGGCAGTAAAAGACTGACTAGGTGCATGAAAATGAGTATATGTTCCAGTATTGAAGAAAGAAAGGTTGTGATCTGAGAGCATACGCTCTATGGAACGACCCCTCCCATCAATATCAGTACCACCCCAGAGGAGATTGTGTTCATTAAAGCCTCCCAGAAGTAAAAATGGAGATGGCAAGTGGTCAATGAGAGCATCAAGGTCCAAATGATCATAAGTCTCCCCAGGAGAAAGGTAGATAGAACAAACAGTGATGGTACAACCCAAGGAAACACGGATGGCTACAGCCTCCAAGGGTGTATAGAGTGACACAGATAAGGAGGGCACATGCTGGTCGACCAGCAATGCTACCCCTCCGTGCACCTGTCCATCACACAACCTGTCACTCCGGTACAAAGAAAACTGCCGAAAAGTGACTGTATCGGCAGGTTTCAGAAATGTTTCCTGTAAGGAGAGACACACGGGATGATAGGAGTCAATCAAGGCCTTAATGTCATCGAGAGTAGAACAAAAACCTCGACAGTTCCACTGTATCAAAGTGGCCATTTTTATGTAGGTTTAGGAGAACAGGGTGGAGAACCCTTTGTTTTATGACAACGCCATTTTTCTTTACTAGTCGGAGGTTGATCGACCTCCATGGATCCTGCCCTTGATTGAGTGGGCAGATCTCTGTCATCAGAGTGAAAATCCAATGACTGAGGATGTGATCAAATGATCGTCCTGCATTTAGAGGCCAAAGAAGGACCCACACTGACACCAGAGGCTTGTGCCCGAGGAGGTTGACCCAGGCAGTCACCGGAAGGAATAGTGGGGACAGAGATTGGAGTAGACATAGAACTATCAACTCTATTATCCATGGAGGGTAGAAGACCTCTCACATGGCATGAAAAAGACTCCGATGGAGGCACGGAAAGGTCTGTCTGCACTCCCACTGTGGCAGTGGAGCATAGTGCAGTGGCATATGTTTGAGATGTAGTAGGGGACAATACCTTCTGAGCCTCTGGATAAGAAATGTTGTGAACAGTCTTCAAACGCTGTACCTCTCTCTCCTCCACCCACTTAGAGCAAGACCAAAAGTAAGAGGGGTGGGAACCACTACAATTAACACAGTGAAGGTCCAGTTTGCATTCATAGGCATCATGGTCCTTGCCACCACACTGAGCACACATCACACAGAACCACGACAAGATGTCTTTAAATGACCGAACTGCTGGCACTGAAAACATCAGAGAGGGTTGGGAATATAGGGCCGTACCTTACAGTTCAAATAACCCTCCTTAACAGCGGCAGGTAGACGTGGTAATGAAAATGTCAAAATCAGAACTGAGGTCGGCGCCATAATATCATCTTGACGACTGGAGATCCTTCGAACTGCTGAAACTCCTTGGTTGGAGAAACCAGCAAGGATCTCTGACTCGGGGATAGACTTCAAGTCCCTCTCAACAATAACTCCTCGTGACTAATTCAAGGAAGCATGGGGAGTAATCTCAATGTATATCCCCAATGGCCTTTGAATTCAAGAGGAGTTCACTGTGCTTAGCTGTGGATGTTTCAACCAAGATGTCTCCAGAACGGAGCTCCTTAACTGACTTTGAAGAGCCAGCAAGCCCTTCTGAATAAAAAAGGGAGACATTTGTCCTAAAGATTTAACGGATAGTGAATGCAAGATCAGAAAGCGAGGTAGAGGTCCATCTTGTGGTGGAGACTGCTGTTCAGAGTCTTCTAGGCATGGTCGTTTACCAATAAGCAGAGTTTTTACTATTTTTTTATTTGGCTTGGGGGATCCATAATTAAGGAGAAAGATTCAGTGCCCACTGACCCCACCCGCCATGGAGTCCTACGAGGGAACAGAATAAAATGTCAAACAAGGACACTGCAGCAATGCCAGGGTTTCGTGAGCACTATACCCAAGCACCAACATCAGACACAATGTCCACAACACCCTTTGAGAATGCCCAACACTGGTACTCAGTTGACCCTAGCCTGAGTGGACCAGCCAATTGACCCTGGGGAGGCCACTCCAAGGCCACCCGTCTACAGAAATTCAAGGCCATAGTGGTGTGTTGCAGTGCCCCAGACACTACTCAACCACCAGGATCCTCTCCTCTCCTTCACGGGTTGCCACTCATGGCAAACAAGTGGGTGGATGTTTAGATCCCAGAGGAAGTAACTGAAAATAGAAAACCTTCCCTGGGAGGTCCCCTCACCACGTACAGGAATCCACTTCGAGGGGTACTTCAAGGAGCAACTTACAATAACTTTACTACAGATTACAGAAGTTTATGCTTACTTCTAAGAACAGCACTCTAATAATTTTAATACAGATTAAAGCACCTTATGCTCACTTCAGGGAGCAGCAAACTCCCTAGTAAGTTTATAATAGTAAGTGAACTTTTGAAAAAACAATTACTAAAATATATTGACCACGTTAATAAAAGTTGTAGAACAGTAGCAACATTACAGGGGGCAAGGAGGGCATTTACCCACCAATTTTTTCTTGCCTCCCCAAATTTCATCCTATATACATAGAGCAAATGTAATATGTATAACAAAAAACATGTTCACAGATGCACAAATGTTTTATGGGATGTTTTTTCTTATATGCTAGAAATCAGCCAGATATATCCTACAATAATAGGTATTCCCTTTAACCCTACATTTTTATGGTACTTCTGCACTAAATAATTATTTATTTAATTAAATAATGCTTGAAAGAACACAGCACAATAACATGCAAAAAGCAGAATGTCTCATAACTGTCACAATTTTTCTGGTGTTGTAGCTATGCCACAAATGTCATTAGAAACTAAGCAAAGCTGGTCGATATGTTTCCTGTGGAAACAAAAGTAAAACCAAAACTAAACATTGTATGTTGAGAAAAAAAAGAAAGTAGAATAATATGCCATTTCAAAGGCAGAACTCTTGTTTTTCTATTGGTTATACATAACAATAGGATTAAAAATCAGAGAAAACAATTGGCAAGTTCTAAAAGGAAGGACTGAGAGGTGGGTATGGCAAGAGGGGTCTGATTTTCTATTTGATAGCTTTGAAACTAATTAAGATGGAAGGCCATATATATATATATATTACACTTTCCCTGAGTGATGACAATATTATACTGCTCCCCAAAAAGGGTTAAAAAGAGACCTAGGCCTACATTTCTTAAAACATTGATAAATAAGGTCTTCATACTGGTTTTGCGGTAAGCAATTGTGACAAGCACAGGCTCGTAGTGTACCAAGCTATCTTCTGCACTTTTACTTTGTGTCTCAGTACTTGTTACAAGGTTATTTTTCAAGTTTCTTGCTCAAGAGGTCATGGGTATCTTTAAATTATGCATTTTACTGTTGTTAATTATTACATGAAGCTGGTGTTCCACAAACACATGTAGACACATAAAGTCTTACTATTGAGAAAATGGATATCAGAAAATTTTGCAAAACCACAGGATTCCCAGAAGATGAATCTATCAAGGAGACAGGTGGACCAAGCAAGAAGCGCCAAATGACTAAAGATGAAATAGTCATACCTGAAGAGCCAACAGAGGATAGATTATTGAACCAAAGCAACAGTGTGGATACTTCTGATCAAGAACATGAAGATATATTGGGCAAACCTGCTAGCACTGGAGAAATACAGGAGCTGAGCATCAGCAGTGGAAAATCAACTCTGCCTAGACCACTCTTGAATTAGGTGGTCCACCTGACATATCTCAAACGCCTGACAATGAACCAATTCAACCTGGTCTTAATGAGCCCTTCTGCTTTCCAAAGACTCATAGACGAAAATTCGTACCTAAATGGTATAAAGCATATCCTTGACTTTAATATTCAAATTCTAATGAGAAAGTTTATCGTTTTATTTGTTTTTATTTTACTACAGGTGCTAAATATCAAGATGAGCAAGCTTAGGTGTCTGAAGGGTTCAATACATGGAAAAAGTGCATGGGTGAATCTCCAAAAAATAATAAACTTCTCAAACACAAGCAGTCTGATACACATTTCAACAATGCATGCAAATATAATGTTTATTTAGAATCAAAGCTTTCTGAAAGCTCGCCAGCTGATTGTGGAAAACATAGAGAATAGATCAAAATACGTGCAAATATATTGAGGCTTACAGCTGACTAAAACATAGCTCAGAGGGGTCATCATGAAAGAGACATAGCTGAAAATAAAGGAAACTTTTTGGAAATATTAAACTTCTTAAAGATGTTACCCAGATCTTAAATGAACAATTGTGTGAAGGACCTAAAAATGCCAAATATACTTACCACAGTATACAAGATGTGATTTTGGATATCCTCAGTGATATAATTTTGGACAAAATAAAAGAAGAAATAAGATAAGCTCAGTACTTATCAATCTTATTTGATGAGACTAAAGACCTATCCAAAAAAAAAAGCAGAGGAGTTTGGTACTTTAATGATTCAGAAGTTCCTGAAGAATTTCTTGGTTTTAAAGTCACTTATGAACTCGATGCAAAATTGTTGCCCAAATATTTTCTGAAAGAGTTAAAGGACATCAGACTTGATGTCACAAACCTGTCACTGCCATTTAAGCGGGTCAACAGGAAATTAAACAAATCATACCTCAAGCCATCTATATTCACTGTTTTGCTTATCATCTTAATTTGGTCATCGTAGAAAGTGTTAAATCAGTTACCCCTGTGGCTGACTTTTTCTCAATGCTTCAGACTTGTTACAATTTTTTTAAGTGGTCCTAATGTTCACACACAATGGATTGCTTTCCAAATAAGAAAATATATGCACCCAAATGAAAAGCCAGTAGAATTCCAAACAAAGTTGGAAACTTGATGGGCTTGCCAGATGTGTGCTTTATGTGAAATTGTAGCACAGTTTGACTGTTTTATTAAATTTCTACAGCATGTTGACATAAGTGACAGCAATCGAGACCATGCATTAAATGCTGATCCATTTTGGTGCAACTTGACCAGACATTCCTATACTGTATGTTGTTTATGAATGACATCTCACATGAAGCAAAAGGAGCATCAGATATGCTGCAAAGTTCCAAGTTAGATAACTGGAAAGCAGCAGATTTCATTGAGAGTCTTATAGCAGAGTTGCAAACTACAGGTGAGATAAGGAAACTGCACATTATTTTCAATGTTCTTATGATATTATTAACAGAAATGACCTAAATGCCATCAAACATGGGTGACTTTGTAGTTCTAACCATACTTTGGAAGCAGGATGCCATAACAGATTGATCTGATATTAAATGAGCCATTTTGTTTCCAGCCATTGATAGTTTTCTTGGAGAACTAAAGAAACGATTCAGTGGGGAAAATTTCCTAATGCTCTGCTCCTTTACAGCAATTGAGCCCAAATCTGAAAAAAATTCCTCGATTTTGAGACTAATAAACATCTTGCAGTCCATTATACATGGAATCTTGAAGACCTACAAATGGAAATGAAGCAAGCTAAGAGAATGAACGAGTGTTCATATGAAACGTTTGGAACAGTCGAGGAATTTGCAGAACATCTCAAACCCCTATCTATGGTTTTCACTGAACTTTACAAGTTTATAAAAATAGCAATAACTCTCCCAGCTAGCATGGCTGGCTATGAATGAGCTTCAGCAAACTAAAACTGATCAAAAGTCACCTTAGAACCAATATGGCAGATAAGAGACTGAAGATTCTAACAGTAATTAGCATGCACAGAGACTGTACTCTTTCCATTGATCTTGATGTTGTTGACAGGTTTGTTACTAAGTTTCTAAATACAAGGTTAATGCTTGCTTAAAATCGAACAGGAGAATTGCTTTGGTTGATGTCTTGGTAAGTTCATGCTTTTGTCAATTGATCATCAATCTGTTTTTAAAGTGACTTGTTATTCCCCCACCCACCAAACAAAAATTGCTAGATATGCTACAATGGTCGAAAACCTTCTGAGTACTATAGAGTTTCAAAACTCAATACAAAGTACTTTTTAAAACCCAATATTGGCTGAATGTAATTTAGCATGCTAAAATTTGGTGGAAATAATGAGTCATTTTAAAATTACATGTGAGTATAAGATGTCTTGTTTTGCCCCCCAAAAGTTCCTATTCAATAGGAGCGGGATCCTAACACGACTATTAGAAGTGACTTATTATAAGTTAAAAAAAACATTAAAGTCTGCTATAAATAGTAGCATCTCACAATAATACAATATGAGGCAACACTTTTAACAAGTCTACTATAAGGGCAATACCCTAAGAAAGTTCATTACTAATGGGGTGCCTTATATACACAAGGAAACTAGAAGTGGAATAGCTACCCAAGTAAGGATATTATATACTATAAAATAGTTTAAACTCACCTGATACATTGTAATGATACCATTAGGTTTATTAGGTGGGGCCCATGAAATTTCTATGCTACTATTTGTCCTCGATACCAGTTTAATCTGTGTAGGAGGTCCAGGCACTGAAATATATAAAGATGAATTAAGATATGATCATGCATTAAAAAAGTCAAAAGACTTCATATTCTTACATGAGTGCAAAACCTTCTGGTTTATAAAACCAAAAAAAGATACAGAGAAACCGGAAGTGAAATAAAGTAAACAAAACCAATTGATGATCGTATACAAAATATCTAACAAATTGATAAAAGTTGCTCATGAACTACAAATGGTTGAGTACATTACATTTAAATTACTTTTAATATGCAAATCAGCAAGTCACTTAAAAACCATAGCTGATGTAAAGTTGCTATGGAGCAGCATGTATCTGATTTTCATTTTAATATTGTCTAGCATTTCATAGATAGTGTAATGCCATCTAAAATTGATTGCTATGTCAAGACGTAGAGCCATAAAACAAAATATGGTTAGACAAAGAGACATAGACTGTAAACGACATGACGAAGCTCCAAAATTATTTTATTATAACATACTGAACTTCTAAATAACAAAATATACAAACTATTTGATGAATTATATGAAAATATCCAAACAATTTGATGAATTTCAAGAAAAACTTTCAAACTGAAGATGAATAGATAATATTCTGTACAGAAAACAATGTAATATAATACATCATTTGGTAGACTTTGTTAACTTTGGCTTTTTATTGGTTATAAATAATATAGTATAAAAGGTCAAAAAGAAACTACTGGCAATTTGTGAAAGACAGGTGGACATGACAAATGAGTCTGATTTTCTAGTTTATGACTCTGTAAACAAATAAGATGGAAGTTTATAAAATTATGCTCTGCCTTAGTGATATATATATATATATATATTATAATGAGTAATTTGTGTTAATTTCCATACTTCTGAGTAGAGTAGAGGGAAGACCTTGAGAACAAATGTCACAATTATCATACTAGGGGAGATTGAGGATTTTTAAAAATATTTCTTAATAAAAATAAGAACTTAAAACCTACATAATATTAAAACGTGATTTATTAACTATGTTTTAATGCAAAGTTCATTTATATACAATGACAATAAAGTAGTTTAATTACAAATTGAATGTAACTTTTTTTGTAGTTAAGCACAAAGCTACTCAAAGGGCTATCTGTGCTCTGCCCGCCACGGGTATTGAAATTCGGTTTCTAGCATTGTAAGTCCGCGGACATACCGCTGTGCCACTGGGGGTTTGAATGTAACTCTATACATTTGTGACATACACACTTTGACCTATGTGTAGTGATAGATTTAATGAACTATATACAAAATATAATCATTTAACTAACACAAAATACCTGAACATTTTTTTTGATTAAGTAGATAAACCAAGGTTAAAAAACTTGTTAAAAGGGAAAAAATACAAATATAAGTACTTTGCAGGGCATTTTTTTGTAAGTGCTAGATCTTCCAACCATTGTTTGGAAAGAAAACTTCTACATAAATAATTCACACCCAGAAGTTGCTTATACCAAAAATATATAGTAAGGATAATTCAGTTTTTATCTACTTACAGCTCTCCTCAGTAAGAACAGTAACAGTTTCACTCCAGTAACCCCAGCCAACTCTGGTAGATGCTTGAGTCTTTATAAAAGGAAACAACAAAAAATAAAAACTGAAATCAAGGAAAGTTCTGTAATTTTCATCAGTTACAATAATAAAATTATGTTTGAGTAAATTATATTCTACACAGGCCAAAATTATTGTTCTTGCTGGCTCTTGATGTAACTATTAATACTATAAATTTTTCAATGTTTTCTACATTATAATTTTTTTCTACAATTATATACAACTTTTTTTCTTGAAATTATGTTCAGGAATTATTTTTCTAGTTTTGTAGAACTTTTTTGAAGACATTTATAATAAAATTTCTCATTGTTTAAATGCTTTTTTTCTAAGGTTATATTCTAATTTCTTTAAGAAGATATAAGGATTTCTTTATTTTCAAGATTTCATTTAAAATCTTAGGATTAAAACAGATATTAGGAGAAAACCAAAGAAAAATCAGTTTCTACAAAGACTTAATTATCAGAGCAATAAAAATTAAAATTTTCTTAAACTGAAAATATATTTCTGATAGATACTTATCTCTTCTCACAAAAAGCTTTCTCTACTTATACTGTCCTTTGTTGGTGCAAATTTTCACTCAACACTAGCCTTGATACTCCTATTTACCCTCACATATGTTAACATGAGATATCTATATATTAACAGGCAAATGTTTATGCAGCAACCCACCACCAATAGGAGTGTGATACTACCCCTATCGAAACGAGCATCCTCTCTAATCTTGCAGCTGTTAACCACTTCGAGATTGGTCAGATCACAACAAACCACACAAGAAGTTGGAAGGATGGATAGGAAATATGAGAGAGTTTAGTATCTATTGGAAATACATTTTCAGTTTAAGAAAATGTTAACTTCCAATACAATATCTTACCTCTTCTCACAAAAACCTAAAATCTTACATTGAACAGGTGGAGGGCTGTTGAGAAGATGATTCCCCTTTAAGAATTGGCCAAAGGAAAACCATGGGGTGTAAAAAGGAACTAAAAACAACACACCCATGGTAGACCATGCCACTTCTGAGCCAAGTTTACTCTTTGACCATTAGTAATGTGTCAACTAATGGGCAGAAACAATGGAGGGACCCCAAGAAAAGTTACAGAAATAATGGGACCCCCCCATTAGTGTAGAGTGGCTGAGGCATAACAGACCATAAATAGGAATTTGACCTTGACCAACCCATGGCAAAATCTGGAATTGTACATCAGTTCTGTGGTAGCGACCTCTATCTTTTACCTCAAGAACAGGTACTGACAGGGAAGAGAAGCTCCCATACCGATAACTCACCACCACAGGCACACACCTCTAACACAACTAACACCAGATATACCAGGAACCTATGTCCAGCAGATGGTAGAAAGTGGGAGGGCACAAGTGAGTGTACATCTACAGTCTAAAACCTGGTGGCTTTGGGAATGTTTCATCCAGTCTGTGGTAGAAAGAGGGTAACCAACTTTACATATCCAGGAATTCATGTGTATCATCCACCTACAACCAACACCAGGTCCACCAGGAATTGACATCCAGCAGATGGTAGGAAGAGGGATGGCAATATGGGATATATCTCCAGTCCAAAACCTGGCAGTATAGGGAATTTATCATCCAGTCCATGGTAGGAAGAGAGTAACCATCCAAACACATGTGAGGACTTACATGGCTGGTCTGGCTCAAACAAACACCCGATCCCCAGGAACTGGCAGACGGTATGAAGGAGGGTGCCTCAGCCAGAGGGGCAAATTACAATATATATATATGATGGAATGCTACAACCAATACCTGGTGGCATCTGGAATTATACATCAAGACCACGGTAGGAAAAGCATCACACCATCTACACCAGCAGAATGCCACCACCCTACTCTCAACTGATTGGTATTGTGCACACTCAGGAGGATAAGCCTCCATGATCCACCACCCCAGTGGCTAAGAACTGGTAAGTGGCAAGGATTCCCATACTCCACTAGAAGAAGTAGGGAATGAATTAATGCAATGGGTGTCCATGATACCCCATCTTGAAAAGCAGAATAAACACACTGATGGAGTGCATCATCAAACACCTGGCAGTATCTAGAATTATGCATCAGGTCCATGGTAGGATAAGTGTAAAATACCATAGATCATCAGAGATGGGCAGTGACCCAAATTTGCTTTACTCATGTTAGTCCATGAGTGTATGGTTCAGGATGAACATATCTATGAAGCAAACAACTGTGAGGTATACCTACAAGCAGTCCTGCCAAACACCCCATCTCAACGGTGGGCATAATATGACCTGGATATGTGTTATGACATGGTATTTTGATAGCAGAGAGAACATGTTGACAAAGTTGATAATTCAACACCTGGTAGCATCTGGAATTGTACATCAGGTCCGTGGTAGGAAGAACCTCAAAGTCACAGTCGTCTGGCATGATATATGCTCACAGGTCATAAAGTGCAGACTTAAGATTAAGTATACCTGGTCAGACAACACTCGTCACAGAGCAGGATCCAAACATGAAAGAAAGGACCCTGCAAACAAAAGGACTGGAATACTTACCACCCACAGAAAAACAGTTATAGCACTGATGATGTCCTCCAAGGGAAGATGGAAATGTGCTGTCAGGGACAAGGTAAGGTGACAAATTGGATGGCAAGAAAATATGAAAAAGGCAACAATTATCAAGAGAAAGCAAAAAAATGCCAGGCAAACCATTAGAGAGCCCTGAACAGTCATAGGAAATGGGTAGGATTGAAATGGTCATAAAGGTGGGAAATGAAGGGAAGGGAAATGAGTGTGAAGGTAGAACTACCTTCTCAAGTAGCCAAAGTCTTGGGCATAAAGGAACAATCAGGAAAGAGGAGAACAAAGGAAGTATGAAACAAAATATGATGAACAATAATCATGAACACAAAAGAACGATGATGTCTGCATGTCAACAAGAGCAGGAACAGGGACTTCAAGGAAAGGATGGGGAAAAGCATGGAGGACCACATTGAGGAGCCACTTAGGAAGTAGGATGGGAAAAGTGGAAAGAACAAAATAACAAGACTGGCAACTGGAAAACACAAGCAGATTTGATAAACCAAAACATGGTAGAGAATGCTGCCCACAACAGAGGAAACTGAAAGGCCCCATTCAAAAAGCCATAAGCAAAAAGGACAGTATGTGAGGAACAGTAGTATGGGAAGGACTATAGCCCATATGCACAGATCAACAGCAGTACCTATACCACTTATATTGGTAAACTGCCATGGAAGAAGTATGAACAGGATGGGAAATGAAGAAAGTTATCAGCAAAAGTCTGGATCTTCAGGTGAGGAACCAGAAAAAACCTACATATGGAGCTGAAGGAGAAGTAGCAGAGACAAAGTAAGAGAAAAGGGGAGGCAACACCAAAAACTGGCACTGCAGTGGAAACAATGTATAAGCTGGCCAATATAGCCACCAGCAGAACATTACATGGAGTGGTCTGAAATATGGCAAAGACACATGGGAGGAGATGCATATAAGTACCAATCTGTCCAAACCTGACTGAGAGCATCGACTGCTCCCACCAGAGGATGAGGAATAGGAGACCAAAATCAGGGAAGTTGTGTATTGAGCAGAAAGGCAAAAGCATCCAAATCTAAGACACCCCACTCCCAAAAAACGTGAGGATCTGAAGACCATTCCATAGGGTGAATTTTGTCGTGATGGGATAACCAATCTGCAAAGAGAATCAAGGCATCCAGAATATGACACGCCAACGAAGTGATATGATGGCAGTGGGCCCAATACAGAAGAGCCAATGTGTGAAAAGAGAAGTCTGTCACCTAAGTGCCTCTTGCCTGGTGATGTAAGAGACTATTGTTGAATTGTCAGAGTGGATTATCACCAACCAGCTTCAAAGAGCCCATCAGAAGTGAAGTAAAGCCCGAAGAACAGCAAGAAGTTCCAAGAGATTGATATTGAGAGAGGACTCAGAAAGAGACCATCTCCTTGAAATTTCCTGAGTGTCGAGACATGTCCCCCTCCTAACCAGAAAGAGAAGCATCCATAAAGGGAGACATTCCAGATGAGGAGGAGGTAGAGAAACACCTATTAGTTCCAATCCAACCACCAGTCTGTAAGGGAGGGTAAGGGTAAGAGGGCATCTAAGGGATCTTGAACAAGGCTCCATTTGTCCATCAAAACCCACTGACAATGATGCATGTGGGTGCAACCAAGAAGAATGAGAGTTTTGAGAGAAGCCCATGTCTCCAAAAGAGAGAGAAAACTCTCTCACATAGTAGGAGAAAGAGAGGATGAAATGCTGCATATGAGATGTTCCATAGCTCTCGACTGAAGTTGAGCAGGTGTTTCTGAAAGAGAAGGGAGTTACAAAACACCCCAAGATGAATCAAATATTGTGTGGGTGTGAGAGAAAACTTTTACACTTGGACAAGCCAACCCACCCTGACAATTTCCTGGAGAATAAACTGAGTATGTGGGAATTAGTCATCTTGTGAGGAGCCAAGAAGCAGCCAGATGTCCCATAGAATGAATCAGGTGGACAAAAGCCCAGACCACTTGACAGAATACATAGGAAGCTGAGGCAAGTCTGAACAGAAGTGCTTGAAACTAAAACATACACCCATGATAAACAAAGTGATACTGTCTGGATGCAGAGGAGATGGGGATATGAAGATATACGTTCAACACCTCGACCTTCTTCACCCATGAACCTGTAGTGAAAACTCAATGAAGAGCTAAGTACCACTACATGGCGAACGTGAGAATTGACATGGAAGCAGTTTAAAGACGATAAAATGATGATAGTGCACCAATTCCCTGAGAGTTTGAGAACAATAAACAGAAGAGAATAAAATCCTGTCGTGGATGAGATGGATCTCCTCATTTGATGGCACCCTTATGGAGTAAGTCCTGAACCACCTCCTAAAGATGCTGGCAAGAAACAGGATCCGGAGTAGAAGGGAAGGAGACAGGAGTGTGAGAAAATGGGATTGATGAATTAAAGTAAAAGAACAGACTTACTGAAACGACTTTCAGAGCCCATGGATCGACTGCCAAGGGCTTTGAAACGTGAGCAGATTGAAGGAGTCCAGCTCCCACTGGCTCTGACGATTACTGGAAAAGGTAAAAGAAATATTATAATCTGATCTCCACAAAGGAAGAAGCAACACCAAATGCTGTGAGCCCTATTGAGGGAAGTTAGAACGTTGATACGCAAAAGCATGATAATCCAGAGTACGTGTGGTTGAGGCATACAAACCCTCAAATGCAAATGCTCTCCAAAATGACTCGCATGAGCACCAATACCCAGGGAAGGAGGAAATACTAAATAATGACCCAAAGGCTTGTCTTCGAGAAGGGTAGGGTGGAACTATAAGAAACTGAAGATAAGGATAAAACATAACATACCTGAATAATCAATTCCACAAAAGGGGAAGGAGTTCTGAACAAGAACCCTGAAATGACATGCAACTGAGAAGCAAATTCAGGAGGAGGAAAAAGGCTGTCCAAATCCACTTCTTCTCAATCACTGAAACCCTGAGCAGGTATGATAGGACAATCATCAGTTTGTTATGAGTGTTACATGAAATTGGTCAACTCCAGACTGACCTAGAGCCGTCACTGCACGGGCCGAGAATCATAGTTCTGATCCATTGGACATCGTCAGTAATTCTGACGCAGCAGTAACAGCAGTTGTAGTCGTGACCACCTGAAACTGCGAGTGCATAACTCTTGAAATCCAAAGAGGAGAAAAGATAAATAAAATAATTCATAACTGTTCATGAAAGAAAATGAAAACAGTAAGTAACAATGTTACTGAAGTAGAAAAATTAACAAAGTAAAAATTTTTGGATAAGTTAATGAAACCACGTGTGAAAACACGTCTATTCAATAAGACTGCCAATCGAGAATAATTAACAGCTGCAAGATTAGGGAGGGCACTAGTTACGATAGGGGTGGTGTTGCACTCCTATTGGTGTAGAGATCCTACATAATTATTTGCATGTTAGTATGAAGATATTTCATGTTAACATATGCGAGGGTAAGTGGGAGTATCAAGGCTAGTGGCGAGTGAAAATTTGCACCGATAGACGGCAGTATAAGTGGAGAAAGCTTTTTATGAGAGAAAGCAACATATTGTATCGAAAATAAATATAATCTTGGCAAATGATTATTTTATGTAAAATGACTGAATTGTGAACTGGATGTTTTTACATATAGCAATATATATCTGGCATAAAATTTTCACATTTCAATGATAACAATACCATATGCTTTTCTTTATGTTCATTCTATACATAAATTTCACTTTAATGCAGTATTATGACAATATTTATCTTTTATTTTATTTTTTTATCTACCTTGATAAAATATTGGGTATATGGTAGCAAATTTTGCAGCTGATAAATTTTGCTGGCACCAGTATCATTATCATTTTGAACCATGCTGTTGATCAAGAGAAATCTTGTGTCATAAGATTGGTTTTCTGCAGTCGAGTACGATAAATTATATTGTAGAATCACGCCATATGCTGGGTTAGGTGGTTTTATTCTCAGTGTCATATGTCGATCGCTTTTTTCAACAAGTAACAATGATGGTGCTGGTGGTACTGAAAAACAATAATGGTGTCATAATTTATATTTTAGAATGTAAATTTCAGCTATAATAAGGTGACAGAACAATAATAAATTAAAGCATAACACATAGCACAGAAAGCTGATGCTACAAAGCTCTAAGAAGGTGATACAACAATAATAAATTAGAATGTAACATGCAGCACAGAAAGGTGATTTCATTGTTAAAAACATGGAAACAAGAACAAAGTTCTAACAAGGTAATAGCTCTATAATAAATTAAGGTGTACTCAAAATGAGTTAAAGCACTTTTCAACTAATACAATAACCGTTATAATTTATTTCTTAACAGTATGTTGATTTTGTAAAACATTTGGGAGTAGCTTATACATCCTAAAAATACCACATTACTTAACACATCAGTAAAACAATGGTAATTTGGGAGAACATGTACATTTTCACTTCGTACAATAATTACATGCAAATATAATGACATAAGTGTGAATTTATGTACACCATGGTTTGTATGAATGGCTTACATATCAGTTAGTTATTATTTTGGCTCCTTGGTAAAGATCATGATGTGCATGTGTAACTCACAAAACATGAGCTTGAATAAAATTGACTGTGTTTCTTACTACCAATGTCAACCTGACTATATTTTAAGTTTAGTAACTTCTGTAAATTGATACTAATATATGTATATAGGATACTAGTGACTTTTATTCCATGTAAAAAACTTGAGAGCTTACTGTCAAAATTCGTTCCAAGGTATACTCAAATTGTGGCATTAACCCACAAATACTAACTTTTGTCACCTATTTCCTTTTGATATAGTAAAAGAATATTGCTGGCTTTTATTTGTAAAATCCCCATAAAATAGCTGGAGACAGAGGCTTTTGAGTAGTTTGAACGTAGGTTTATTTGTAGTTTATGGGTGGCCAGAATAATTTATTAAAATCATTTTATGTTATTTGGATGCTTTGTTGGCAATGAAGTTAATTATGAAAAAACATTTACCATCTGGCAAGATTAATTTTGATGTATGTAACTTTGACAATACTGGTTTGCATTTTAAACTATGTGGTCAAAGCATTAACTTTGAAGCATTTCATATATTTTTAAATGATTTCTGTATTTTGAAGAAATAAAGGAATATGTGCAATACTGTTGAGCTGTAATTCTAATTAGACATTTCTTGGGGTATTCGGCATGGTAGCATGCATGTTGAGGTTTAATTTTCCTGCATATTATTTAATTTTTGTATTAAATTTCTGATTGAGTTTATAAAATATGTTTTGCTTAAAATGTTTGACTTTTTTTTTGTTCTTAATTCATAATTTACCAAAAACCACAATGCTCTCTGAACCTAGTATATTTCACCCCAACTTCACCATCTCATTTATTTTGAGATTCCCTTACTTACTACCAATATCTAAGCACTTGGCTAATTTTTTTAATATATAACATATATATATTTTTTTTTCTTAATATATAATATATTACAGCTTTTTGACAACATTATGATTTTTGTAATAATTCATACATAGGAGAACTGTGAAAAACATATTTAAATAACATAGTTCTAGCATGCAAGAAGAATATCAATCTTTTTTTAGATGACATATGAAACTTACCATCATCTGCAGTTTTCTGAAATATTTTGTTTGAGAAAGGTCCAGCACCAACTTTAGTATATCCTCGAACAACAAAAGTATACGTTTCAAAAGGCACAAGTCCTGTTAGACGTGCAGTAGTTCCTACAAAAATAAAAGAAAGAACATTCATTTTGTTTTATAATTATACAAATCCCAATTTATAAATAAAAAAAGGCCTTGTAAACAAGACATAATATCATAAACATGAATAAAACATTGAGACAAGATACCTAAACTCATATAAATAAGAAATTTCTTGTAATTCATTTTTATTAAAATTTTAGCAATTATATTTAACTAACCATATACTTATTTAACTGCACTATTTTAATAAGTAAATATAAAACACTTTTTTCATTTAACTTTACACATATTTATACATGTAAATTTTGGTACATGTGTATATTATGCTTTTCAGACAATCAACATTGATAGCAATAAGCATGTGTCAAAAGTTAAAATTAGTAAGCCTACATATTCTCAGTGAGGAAAAAATATTAAAATAAATAACAGTATATTACATAATTCTATTAGCTAGGTATAATAATAATGTATTCACATGTTTATGGCAGCAATAAACTAAGAATGTGTAAAATTAAGGAAAATGCTGAGAGGTTACATTACTATTACTAGGGATTAAATGTGGGTGGTGCAAAATAGTTTAAGTATCATGAGTAGATGTATGTGTCACATGAGTGAAAACACTGCAGGACTTACATATTACTATTAGGAATCACATCACTGATAATGCTCAAGAGTTAGTATGCTATCAGCATATGAATGGACCTATTAGTGTTACTGTTAAAGATCATGCACCTTCCTAGTTGGCTTTAACTCAGAAGAAAACAATTCTATAACTACATATAAATTTTGATATTCCCAGGGTCAGGTTTTGCAAGGATGTATTATTTACAGTAGGTGTATGTGACTTGTTGGCAATAAATTTAAACTATAAACAAACAGCAACATGGTCTGCTTGTTTTGAAATAATATATTTAAAACAAATTGAACATGTATACAAATGTTTGTTACACTATTCGTTACCACAGTTGTATCTAGAGCTTTAAATAATTGTCTCTTTTTTTTTTGTAAAAGTCCACACAGGCAGGTTCAGTTACTTTAGGACACATTATTCTTCAACAAGACAAATTATTCTTCTCTACTCTTGTTATTACAATACAGTCTGTGATAATTAAAAATTGTCAATATATATTCTTTATAATTAAACTCAGGATCACGCAGTCTATAACTAGAACTCAATAATGATTCTTTTGATGCATATTTATACCCCGACAGTAGTCTAGGGCATTCAATGCAATACTAGATATTCTAATGCAATAATACTCAGTTAAACCATTAAACTGAAACAGCCATGTATATCTAACATCCTGATACATTTTTCATATCACACATTGAAAAAGAAGTCAATTTGTAATGCACTTTGCAAGATATAAAAGAAAACAACCTGACAATAGATTGCTTAATCATCTTAGGATCAAGTAATATAAAGTTGGTAAGTTATATGAGTATGTCTGGCTTAAAATGAAGAAACATTCATTTTTGATCTTTTTTGTCTTCTATAAAGTTTTCAAGGTGATTAGAAAGAGCTCAAACCATATTCCCTACTTTCTACTTTAGTATTACTTCCAAGCAGACTCTGATAACAAAAACATTTTAGTTTAGTGTAAAAGATCAGATAATGAAAATGAAAAAATGATTTTCCATCCCTCTAATATGCAAATTAAATATGTATACATACAATAGATACACATATACATAATATGATCTGAGATTATCATTTTAGGTATTTAATATACATGTAATCAGTTATTCTTTGTTCCTTGCATTAGCCAATTTAGACATAGAAATGACAGACCAACAGTTTGTTTGTGTTATTCTTATAAATGCAATAAAATTAACTGATAAATTTAACAATACAGATACAATATTTGTGATTTCTTTTATAATGTCCTTATTAATAGCAACAAGTTTCTGATGGCTAAAAATGTTAATAAACACATCACAGAAATCTCAATATTTAAAAAAATATATATATATCAAGATTTTTTATATAATAAAGATAAGTCTTCATTTTGGTTAAAATAATGCACAAGTTGAACATTAAATATTTACTTGAAAAATATAAATATAACAAGATGTGAATAACGCATACAATTTAAAAACATTACAGGAAATTATGTAATTAAACTGAATGCTCTCACAGATGTATGCTAGTTGTGTGTTGGGAATACTAAACTATATAAATTATTTTGCATTAAGTGTAAAGAAGTGAAATGGTCTATTAATTGTAACTGGTAAATAATGCAAGACAGATAAATCATACAGCCATCAACATTAATGTTTTATACATCCTAAACAAAACTAAAGAAGCTTTCTTTTACCAAAAAGAAAAAAAAGAAACATTTAGCTTACCATTTGTTTTGGATATTCTTACCACCGAGCTTCGTTTTAGCATCTTCCTTTTTGTTCTAGTTTTGTTTGATCTGAAGTGAGGGACATGCTGAATAGCATATTCATAATTAATAATCTTCCCATTGGACTGGTCACAAGGTACTGGATCCCAGTGAAACTCTAGTACATTTTTATCTACTGTCATAATTCGAACATTCTGAGGAACACCAGATGGTGCTGTGTCCAGAAAAGAAAACTTTTAAATTAAAAAATCATCAGTTTATCAAAACAATGTTAATTTTACATCTTACAGAGTCAATTTCCTAACAAAAACCTTTCATAGGGTTTAGACTAACAATTAAACTATTTTATTTAAAAGATTTCTATTCTTCAGAAGTCTTTCCAAGCTAACAATCAAGAGTGATATTCTTCAGAGGTCTGATCAAGCCACAAGACAAAACACATTTTTTTTTTCTGATGTCTTTTGTAGATACTATTCAAAAACCTTACTCCACTTAGATTTGTTAAATATACTAGTTAAGAATTCAATTCTTCTAAAATCTATTCAAGCAACCAGTTAAAAACCTGATCCCACTAAGATGTGTTTAAGCAACATGTTAAAAATACTATTCTACAATAAGTTCAAGCTGTAATTTACTCTGTTACACAGATTTCCCACAAAGCAGAAGTTGGATTTGCTAACTGGAAGTCTGAAAGATATCAAGTAACAGAGCATTGGTCTGTTATTCTGTGAATTCTAACTGAGTTTGCCTTTAAGAAAGAGTCAAAATATAAAAATGCAAAACTACAATCTTTAATAAAACACAGACAGAGACAACCACAATACACTAAAATGAAAAAAAAGGGCAAATGTTTTGTAATTAGTGTGTTAAACAAGTGAGACAGAGAGATGAAGTGAAACCTTAATGAGCTCTCAACAGTGCAGTGAATCATCTCCTGGTAGATAAAAGAAAAATAAATTACAATATCAAAATAAACCCCAACATGAAAATAAACGAAAAGGTCTCACACAGTAAATTAAAGTAATCTTTAAAATGAAGACAAAGTTAAATGTAGTAATAAAATCTACATTATCTCAGCCCCAGTATTAAGGTTCAGTTAGGTCTACTAAAACGTAAGTTACAGTGGAAAAACCTTGCTTTATATACTAACACAAAAGCCAATAACTAAGCTAGGTTGTTCACAAAATACTCATCACATATATAACCTTCACCCTCTGAAGGTCATATAACCCACTGTGATTCAAGCACAAAGGCCTGGCAGCCACAGGCCATTATCTGATTCCCCAACAGAAAAGACAGCCTTCTACTCTGGGAGGTCATAAACAATCTATCTGCAAGAAAACACAGTTAATTGCAAATTAATGAGCTAGGTCCCAGATAGAAACTGAATAAGGTAAAGTTAGATGTATTTACTTGAGCAACTTTTTGTGTCCAAACTGAACTGAAATTTCAAAGAATTTACAAATTAATTAAGTGGGGTAGCAAACACATGGCACCACCCTCTACCACAATGTTATGAGTTAATAAAACTATCCTTCAGAAATCTGTTTACGATACCAGACATAAACCTATTCCCATTCTCCTAAGATCTTTTCAAGCTACCCATTAAGAAATGTCTCATTAAAAGATATGTTCGAGTTACTACTTAAGAACCCTGCTTTTTGTATTAGTAATTTGTTCAATCTTAAATTTGTGTCCTCTTGTCTTATTATCTCTAGAATACTGCAAAAATGAAATATTATCAATCCCAAGGATAATCTTGCACACTTCAATAAGATGACCAATTATTTTCTCTTAAAAAAGAAGGGTAAGTTAAAGAGATTTAAACCTGTCCCTATACAAAAACTTTTTCTTCCCTGGAATCATAAATCTCTTCCTGGTAAATCAATCTTTTAAAGACATTTTTTGTGTTTTGACTTCACCACTTGTGGTTTACTTCAACAAATGTAGTTTCTAGTTCTTTTTCCAACCAGCCCCACCTGAATTTATTTTTAACAAATTATTAAATTGTTTATCTCTCAATTCATCATATCTCTTGCTATCCTTTGTCATTGTTTTAAAAATTCATTCCATTTTTGAATTAAACTAACTTGTAAATTTTCAATGAATTTTTTTTGTGTGAAAAATCCTTGTTGTAAACATGCTATTTGTAAGGTTATAATTTTCCTATTCTGAAAATCTGTTTCCAATGGGTACTTACCTGCTTTCATAAGATTAGCTATTCTCATTCAGTGTTACCCTCTATATGCAAACTTTTACTTCATGCATGCCACAGGCCTTCTATTCCCCCCCCCCCTCCCCATGGGAATTACTATATTCCAACATGTCTCTCACATAAATCACCATATGTCATCTCTTAACCAATAGCAGCATGATATGCTCATGGGACACTTGTAACTCCCTCTACTGAGCCTTCACTTCAATGTTTGCCAGGTGTGAGCACTCGAGAAGTGGGGAGGAAATGTGAAAGGAGGTAAGTACCTATCAGAAATACATTTTCAGTATAGGAAAATTATAACTCCCAATACAGTACTTACCTCCCCTCACAAGATTAGCTAGAATCCCACATTGAGAAGGAAGAGGGTATGGTGCGAGGGAAAGAAAGAAACATCCTTCAAATCTTGTGTGAGGACTTATGGTGATTGGTTCACTCTAATCCAAAACCTCTTCATAGGGTACCAACATCCACGTGAGGGTAGGATGAGGGGTGAACTGCAATTTCGATGGCTCAACTCTAGTGTTTATGTAAATGGTATCAGGAGGCTACATCATCCAGAAAGGTGATGGTTCAACTCCTGTTGGTGTGGAACTGGTTTGTTTGTTTGTTTATTATGGATTTCATGCAAAGCTACATGAGGGCTATCTGCACTAGCCGTCCCTAATTTAGCAGTGTAAGACTAGAGGGAAGGCAGCTAGTCATCACCACCCACCGCCAACTCTTGGGTTATTCTTTTACCAACAAATAGTGGGATTGACTGCCACATTATAATGCCCCCACGGCTGAAAGGGTGAGCATATTTGGTGTGACAGGGATTCGAAGCCGCGACCCACAGATTGCGAGTCTAGCGCCCTAACCACCTGGTCATGCCAGGGCCATTGGAACTGGTATCAGGAAGCCATGGCAACCAGTAAGATGATGGCTCAACTCCAGTAGTTGTGTAAGTGGCGTCAGGAGGCCATGTTATCCAGTAAGGTGATGGCTCGACTCCAGTAGTTGTGTAAATGGTGTCAGGAGGCCACATCATCCAGTATAGAGATGACTCAAGTCCTCTGGAGGCCACATCACACAGTAAGGCAATGATTTAACTCCTCTGGAGGCCGTGTCTCATCTTTACCAGCAGAACACCACTGCCCTACTCTTGACTGAACCACCCCAGCAGCTTAAAACTGGAAAGTGTTAAAGATTCCCCTACACCACTCAAGGAAAGGAGGGTGACATTGGCAGTGGAGAGTCGAGAGGAACATCATCACCAGAGACAGTGCATTGGATGACCATGAAACCTTATTTTGAAAAGCAGACCATACCAAGTTATTCATCCAAAGCATGGTCTAGAACGGGGATGTTTATGAAGCAAAATATCCTGAGGTTATTCACTGTCAAGCAATCTTGTGGAACACCCCATCTCGACAGTGAGTCAACATGGCTGTACAGTGCAAATTTTGAGTTAAAGAATACCTGGTCAGGCACCACACAGAGCAGGATCCATGTGATAAAAAAGGAGATAAAGGCCCCTGGAAAAAAAATTAATAAAACTTACCAGTTAAGGTCGCACAGAGATCTGGAGAACAGCCACAGGTGGTAGATGAAACCCCAATGAATAGAAAATGCAACAAAATGGGAGATAAACGTACTGGGAGTGGTCCACATGCCAGACTGTAGAATCTCCTCCATTGGACAATGAAGAAAAGAAGCAAGGGGAAAAACGAGATGTCTGATCTGATGGGAGGAAACCTGGAACAAAGTATGGGAGAAAGAAGGTAGGGAACAATAGGCCAAATGAACGAAAAGGTAAACCCAATCAATAAGGGTAGGAGAAGGATTGCCATGGGATAAAGAGTCTGTTGCATGTACCCCAAAAAGTAGCAGAACATGCTACATAACAATGAAGGGCCCTGACTGAGCACAGAAGCCTATACAGTCGAGGGTAAAGATGGGATATAGAAGGAAGGAAAATAAGAGTAAAGGATGAACAACCCTCCCGAGATGCCAAGGTCTTAGGGAGAAAGAAACAATCGGGATAAAGGAGAAGATAGGTAGAATGATAAAGAGTACTTAAAACATCAATGGCAAACAAATCAGACTGTCGACATCCACAGGCTAAGAGAAGAAGGAAATATGTTTTATGGGACAGGTGAAACAAAGAACACAAGGAAAATGGTACAAATGGAGGTAAAGTAAGGGCATGAGAGATCAACGTATCCAGAAGGAACACATGAGCATGGTAATAACAGTGGAAGTAAAAACTCGATAGTATTGGGAAAAACAGAAGGTATGGGATAGAGCTGCCCAATATCTGAAAAGAGACCAAAGACCCACAGTCAAAGAGCCAGGTGAGAAATTCTGCCACAAAAGGCTTGTCAGCAGAAGACATCCTGTTAGCAGACCAATTGGTATATTTCTATGGAAGATGGCCATGTGAAACTAGCTAACAAGGAAACAACTTGACATGTGAAATCGGATTTTCTCACCACGGACCGGATAAAAGCCAGTCTTGAAGACAGAGGATGCGGAGATTGGGATGTAGAATGTGGGTTTGAGGTTGACAAAATAGGGAGAAAGTGGAAGAGGGACAGGTGGTGATAGGAACAGATGTTGTAAACTTTGAAACCAAGGTTGAGATGGACAATAGGGAGCAATCAGGAGGACCCGACAAGGAAGTGGACAAGAGAAATCATCTAATGAAGCAATCAGATGGGAGGGTACCCATAAAGATATTTGTGACAAATCCTAACTGAAAGCATCAACTGCCAAAGCCTGTGAATACAGTACAGGTGACCAAAAGAGGGGCAACTTGGTATTGAGGCCGTGGCAAAAGCATACAAGTAGGGATAACCCCACTGATGGCAATGATCCCTGAAAACGAGTGGATCTAATGTCTACTCCATTGGATATATCTGGTTGGGGCACAAAAGATGATCCAATACTAGACTGAAAGCACCTGGCACATGATATGCTATAAGGCAAATGTGATGTGTGTGGGCCCAGTATAATAGATCCAACATTCTAAAACATAGATCTCTGGACCAGGTGCCCCCTTGGTGGCTGATATATGCCACCACAGCAGAATTGTCTGAATGAACCACCAGCACACAATGCTAGGTGAGAAAAAGGAAGTGATGCAATGCCCAACATACTGCTAGAAGTTTGAGAAGATTGATATGCAAGACGGTTTTGTCCACAGACCAACAGCCCAAAGCTTCCTGGTGATTGACCAATGCCCCCATTCCTGAAGGGATGTGTCCATGAAAAGATGTAGATCTGGATGTGGGGGGGAAGGAAGCAGCATGCCTGCCAATGTATCGGCTTTGTCACACCACCATTGCAGATCATCTTGAAGGGAAGTAGAAAGGGAAATGGGGGTGGAAAGAGAATACCGAGCAAGGTTCCAACATTCGTGAAGCACCCCCTGAAGGGATCTCATATGGGTACGACCATGAGGGACCAGTGCAGTCATGGAGGACCACATTCCCGAAAGCGATAGAACCTTACAAGCAGTAAGTGACTGTGCTGAGAGGGCATGATGAACCTAAAGTTCCATTAAATGAAGATGTAAAGGAGAAGGCAGAGTGTGACTGATATTAGTGTCGAAAAAAGACCTCCAGATGGACTAGATATTGAGTGGGTCAAAGGAATGACTTCTCCAATTTGATCAACCAGCCCACCCAAGCTGCATCAAAAGGAGTTGGTAAGTATGACTGGCCAATTAATGCTCGGAATGAGCCCGAAAAAGCCAGTTGTCCATGTAATAATGAAATCACATCCCCAGAGCATGGCAATGACATGCCAAAGCCCAGACTATGTGACAAAACATATAAGGAGCCAAAGCAAGTCCGAAGGGTAAGGCCCAAAATTGGTAAACCACCTTGAGATGTATAAACTGAAGGTAAGGTCAAGACCAATGTGCTATCAGGATGTGGAGGTAAGTGTTAGAGACATTCATTTTCGTCATTCACAACCCTGTGGAAAACACCTATCTCAGGGTGAGAAAAGTGAACTTGGGGAGTGAGATGAAGCGGTTGAAGTGAGATAAATTGATGACCTGCTGTCAATCCCCGGTTTTCTTGGTGACAACAAAAAGACAGGAATAAAAACCCTGGAAGGATGATGAACTGGTTCGATTGCCTGCTGCAAAAGCAATTCTCAAACAGCTTCTGACAGATGCTGGCTGGCCACGGGATCTCAAGGAAAAGGGAAGGAAACAGGACAAGAAGAAACAGAAGGTGGTGAAAGAAACTGGATAACGAATCCTTCTGACAGAACCCATATCATCTATTGATCGACGACGAAGGGATGCCAGCAAGGAAGAAACTCTAATAGCCAAGCTCTTCCCGGACCCAAACCCACTGGTGGCGATGGGAGGAAGTATCCCAATTAGAAAGAACAGGTAAGGGTTGAGAGGATGAAGGATAGGAAGATATGGCATATGAGGCTCTGAACAAGACAAATGGGCTACAAAAGTCATGAGGGTTGGTTGCTGGTACACCAATGTCACCGAAGGCTTGATAGTTTCCAGGTCTCTATCAAAGACACAACGTCTCAGAAAGATGCAAGACGTAAATCTCTGAGATATGTTGAGGGTAAACTGACCCAATCCAAAACTGCTTCCCGACCTATAAGGTCCCAATAACAAAAAACTATGTATGTAATGCCAGAGCTGAAGAAGAAATGCGGGCTAAAGTGGAGGAGAGAAATGTAAAGGTATCTGCAGAAAACCCCTCAGGATTTCTCTTCAGAGCCTCTGATAGGAGATGTATGGAAGAAAAATACCATAAGAGGCACCTAAGAACAACTGATCTCAAAACGGATTGTATGCATGATGGTAAGAAAGGGTGAACTGATCAGAAGTCCTCAGAGGGCATGGTATGCTGATCCCCTCAATAAATTTTGAGACAAATTTATCTGCATGTACCTGAATATCAGGGAAGGGAGGAAAACTAAAAATGGTTGAGAAGCTTTTTCATGTAACAAGGAAGGACGAGGTGAATAAGAGATAGGGGAAAGTGATAAAACATCACAAACCTGAGACATAAAATCCATAAATACCAAATTAGGCCTAGATGATTCCTCAGGCTGCAAATGTGATGGAACAGCAAACTCTGGTTGCAAGAAAAAACAATCAAATTCCTCGTCATTCTGAACACGTTCAGCTGATTCAGGAGGAGCCTGAGCAATGTCTGTGGACAAAGGTTGACTTATGTAGCACTCAATCTCCCGACGTATACAAGAGCAGAGAGATCAACAGTCACGTCGCCTGCACATGAGGGCTGAGAAAAAACACTGGTCGCTGGTGTGACCCTTGAAGTGGTAACGTGAGCTTCGAAATTCATAGCACTAGAAATGGTTCACAAAATTCGAGTGCAGAAATATAGCAACAAGAATAAACTGGTATAAAAGAAAATAAAGTAAAAAAAGAACCACTTCGTGTGAGAAAAAAAATGTTTGTCACACTGGAAGCATTAGGCACACAAAGGAGTACGTCTTAACTCAAATCTTGCCAAATGAGAAGTGAAGGGTTGGTAGAGGAGTGTAGAGGGAGTAATATGCATCACGTGAGCATATTATACTACTATTGGTTAAGAGATGACACATAATGATTTACATTAGAGACAAGTTGGAATATAGTAATTCCAACAGGGAGTGAGCAGAAGACTTGTGGCATGCATAAATAAAAAGTTCGCATATAGAGGGCAGCACTGAACTAGAATAGCTAATCTTCTGAGAGGAGGTAAGTACCATATGAGAAATGAGGTATGGCAACATTTGTTTATGAAAGCTCGACTTTGAGCATGTTTTATTGGAATGATAAATTGAATTATTACTAACCCCAATATTCTCCCTGGATTATTGAAAATCTCAGTAATCAATATTAAAAGCTAGAAATCTGCTGACTGATGTAAAGTTCTCACCCATAGCTACTTTTGACATGTAATCACTATATATCTATAAATTGTCTTAGCTTGACTACTAGGAACAGAGCACTGCCTTCCTGGCTTGAATGATTTATCCACCACTATGCTAAGATCCTTTTCTTCATTCGTGTTATTGAATATGTTACCATCTATATTAAATACGTGATCTAAATTATGATAACTCCAATGCACTATCTTGTACTTACTATAATTAAAGACCATTTACCAGGTATTTGTCTAACTTAACAATTAATCCAAGTCACTCTGTAGTAACCAAACATGTTCAATACAGCTAGAAATAACCAAGATATTAATATCATAATCAAACATTACTAATTTACGAATTATGTCCCTAACAATATCATTAATATAAATAAGAAAATGAAAGGGCTCATACACTGAACCTGAGGCACTCCATTAATAACAAAGGTCCAGAATTATACTGGATTTATTTATTAATGTTATGTATCTGTTATTTTGTTATTGTTGTTTTTTATTCATATTTTGAATAATTTAATACAATTATTTTATTTATTGGGCTGTAATCAATTATAACTCTAAAGTTACCTTCATTTTTTGTAACTGCTAGGTTTTTAATGCTAGGTATAGTACTTCATTTACTTATGAAAAAAATTGGTGTATAACTGTGTAAGTTGTTTCCCATAAGCCTGTTAGTTGGGAGTTCTGATCTAGGTATTTAAGTCAGTACTATTCAGTAAATAAACGATATATGTAGTACATAACAAGCAGATGTTGAGACAGGAATTTACTAAGTCACCATACAAATTTTTTCCTGTTCCCACACTGTGAGGTGACTTAGTATGTGGCCCAGCTCATGTGGTTTTCTCTGTATACAAGTAGTTTTACTACACACATTTTTCTATGAAACAAATAAGTTGGAGAGTATTACAATTGTCCCCTGGTCTTGCTTGTCAATAACATACCTCTACTTAGTACTTCTATCCAAGTAAACAGATTTTCAGAGTGCACTATCATGTTAGCAGAAGAAGGAAAACAATAGACTTACTGGTATTTGAGGGTATTACAAACTGTTCAACTAAGCTTTGCCCTAGTTTTCAAAAAACAAATTTTATCTTGATGACTTTACACATTACCAATGAAGAAGACTATTCATATGAGATCAGTTCAAGCTATCTGTCTGAATCATATCTTACTGAGATATATATGCTTCAACTGTCAGGTACAAACAAGATTCCTACAAACTGCTCAAGTTAACTGGAGACAAAGAGTTTTCTCTTTATGAGTCTTACTTCATTCATCAGTAAAAAATTCTTGCTAATTAGTATACTCTTCAATATTTAAATTAATATTATATAAACATAATGAAAATGAGATATTAACTAACCTGCTTCTTTAGTGACAGCATACAATTCCTTTACATTTCCAAAGCCAGCTGCTGTACTAGCACGAACAGTGATATAATAGTTGGAGTAAGAATGGAGATCCGATATAGTTATCTATAACCAGGTATTAAATGACATTACATAACACCATTACACTAATCATTAGTTTTATAAGTTCCTAAACTGTATTCTTTTTAAAATGTAAGAACTAATGTGCATTTATTTCCTTTTGCATTTGAAAGAGTTTTCACATGTCTTTCAAGTATATAAGCATGAATGCCCATTATTGATCACTTTGACAAATAAAATGTGATGTTTATTTGCTGTTTATGGATTTTGTGCAAAGCTAATTGAGGGATATCTGTGCTAGCCATCCTTGATTTTGAAGTGATAGACTAGAGGGAAGGCAGCTAGTCAGCACCACCCACCACCAACTATTGAGCTATTCTTTATCAATGAATAGTGGGATTGACCATCACATTATAATGCCCCGATGGTTGATAGAAGAAGCATGCTCGAGATTGGATATGAACCCATGGCCATTAAATTACAAATCAAGTACCCTAACCATCAGGACATGTGATTTCATAACACGAAACTAAGAAATCTGTACCATATCTAAATAGTCTATAAACATGTCACATCAGTCAGTGATATATTACTAATGCAAATCTACATTTATCTCTGTTCTCTTTAAAACAATATATCCAAATTTTATAAGCATTAATGCAATAACAAAATATTTTATCTCATACAGACAAGAAATACTGAAAATTATAAAATAAATTAAAATCTAAATGGTATTTTATGAGATAATGCTTTTTCAAATTTAAGTAGTAATTTAGTAAAGTCAATTTTTATCTATTTATCTTTTTTTTGTATATAACCATGCAATTTACTTCCTTCTGCAATATTACCCATAAATCTGACTCCATTTATATTCTACATTTTCACATCCTTACATACATTTAGTGGCACATCTTCCAGACATATCAAAAACCAATATTTTGGGTCATAATTTCAATATCTCACAATATTCAGCCAGCTTAAAAGATATGGGTTAGCTATCAATACAAAAAAATATGTAATGAATAAATTAAACACATTAAATATACAAATATTATATATATTCAATATTTTAACCAATGCACACATCTACTTAAATGGTGTACGTCACCTAAGTTCATGGGTGTTGTTTAACAGAGTTTCTATTACAAACTGAAGGTAACTTGTTAGCTGAAAATATATTTTATATTTAAATATTCTACACTGATTAGGAAAGAAACAACTTTAGTAAGATATTGTTCATTGTTAAAAAATATATCTATAGTGTTTCCTTTTCAGATAATTAATTTTGCTATATACTTACTTTAAAATTATATCTACTAATACAGAATTTTCAAAAATGCAAATTTTTAAAAATATTCTCATCAATACTAATATAGCTCTTAATATTATAACAAGAACTTCATCTTTCTCAAGCAGAGAAATTAGATTTTATTTTTCAAGGATTGTAGAATGAATAAAAATGTGATGTATATTTCCCATTACAAAACTATCTCCAAGAAACGTTGTATTTTATTGATAAATTATTTGTAAGAGTTATAAAAACAGTAGAATACTAAAACTGATGTATGATTCAAAATACAGCACAGCAACTCTGCTAACATAAATGAGTTCATCAATGAAGGCTAATCTAAGACCATAATTGAGCCCCTATGAATTTTTTTGTATGTTGTATTTATATATCCTGATATTATTTTACATAGTTTGCTTTTATATAACTTTTGTATTTGTTTCAATGTTATTAAGGTCATCATTATGTTTTGTAAATAACATTGGGTTTATTTTATATTACCTTAAAACTGATGTACCTTGAATGCTGAAACTGCAGGAGCAGTCATAAATGTTTATAAGACTAAATAGATCTTATGTTTTACATGAAGTAAAACACCAAATTATTTAATGCATCTATCAGAGTAAAGCAAAAATGTGAAAGAATGAATAAAAACACTCCCAATAGCTTGGGGAGGGGGATGAGTAACTAATTTTTCTAATTATTAAATTTTCACCTCTTATTTTAATCCCCTAGTGTATTTGTCAATTCTCAATTTGTTTCCTATAACTGGAATTAAACTTTACAACTGTTAGAGTCACATGCAAGGGTTTATATACATTTATATAATTTATATTCCTCTTAAACTCACCAAAAATCATGATGGAAACTTAACCTGCTTTTATAAGTATAGATAGTCAGTATCATTTTCTTATATAATGCTTTCCAAGTATGTTTCTAGGACACCAGGTTTGTGGTCATTGTTTTAATAAATTAGGGGAAACCTCTGATGTAAGAGTTAGTTGATATGATTTCTAAGAACATGAATTTCATTTTAGCTTTGAACTGGTAGGGCAGACAGGAGTTGATCCTGCATTAGACAAAACCTAAGGCAAAGGTGCATGTGCCAAGTTCTTTCATCTGTCACTATAGGACCAGATCTTATAACGGACTTACTCAGTGAAGATATGAAAGAAAAGCCTAAATTAACACACACACACACACACACATATATATATATATATATATGAATTAGGGCCTGAAGCTTATATAAAGTTATACAAAACAATTCCTAATCAAATAATTTTAGGCTATATAAATGCACAGAAACAATTAAAAAATGTTTCACAGTGGTTCAACAATGGTTTAAAATTAGGTTTTGAAGACTAGTTAACTTACATTATCGTCAGTATCATGATATAACTAAAATTTAAAACTTGCAATTCTGGCTTGTACAATATGCTATTTGCTGAACTTTTATGAAGGTAAAAATATAGATATTAATTATTAATATTTCTGAAATCCAAACTTAACTTTTTACATGAAAATCCGACAGCAAAATAAATGTAGATGACTAAATGGTAAGCAGAAACACACACGGTTCAATTCTTAGAAAAGAATTTGTCAACGACATTATATATTTAGAACAATGATATAACCATAATATCCATTATGTTTTTCTTCATTACAAAATTATACAAAAATAGCCTTTTCATTATCTGAAAAGAAGAAAGTGCTTGTACTAAGTTTTATATATTAGATAAACGAGCCTCAATAGTGTTAAGAGTTGTATATTTTTTACAGTTGTTTTTAGAACAATGCATTATTAAAACATATAGTTGTGAAATAAATAAAAAGTTAATGATTGAAAAGCAAGTAATAAAAATAGTTTTAGCAATGAACATTCATTTTAAAAAATATTTGTAGTATAACGTTCTAGCAAGGAATTAGTTGAAAAGATCAACTTTAAACTGCATTCTTAGACAATATATTGCCTATAGATTACAACATACAAAAGCTGCTGGAGCAAGCCCCATCTAACGTAAGCATCACATACACCTTTTATGTAGATGTAGGTATATATTTATATTAAGCAGATGTAATATTTTTCAAATAATGTTGTTTTAACTATGTTTGTATATGGGACTGTTTTTTAAAGTAGTCTAGCCATAAGAAAGCTGTTGTTCCTAAAAGCAACTTGCAGTGAATGTATCTGGAGAATACATATCTTAGAGCAGGTGCTGTTTTGAACAGTGTGTTCCTAAATATACAGCAATGTGTAAGGAACAATAAAAGGGCAGGGGTTCAATGACAAAAAAAAAAGTTACTTTTCAAGCATCAAAGACAAGCCTTTTTTTGGAGAGGGAAGAGGTGAAGTGTTAGGGGAGACTACGAGGGCAATAGGTTGCCTCTGTACAGATAGGGTAAAAATATGATAACAAGCAAACAGATCCTCTTTTATTCCTATTCCAATAGTCTTATAAACACCTTTAAAATGTAAAGTTAAACAGTGGAATTCTTACATATTGACACTTGTTAGATATACATGGATGTTTCAATTGAATTTAGTTGAAAAGTTGTGATTTACATAGTTATAAAGCATGAGTGTTAAATTTAGTATTTTTAGAAGGAATAATTTATGACATGTTATGGAACTGTTTACAAATCATTTGTTGTGTATTTCATTTGTTGTGAATTGACATCACATTATTCAAATCTTCTGAATTTTTCTCTTTGCTTTAAGTGAATATTGCTACATCATAACGTCTCATAGTATGTAGAAAGCTCTAGGCCTTAGTCAGGCAATATATATATATATACAGGTGACCAAGTTAGTATAAGTTGTGTAAGTTAATGAAAATGAAAGTAAGAAAGAGTTAGTGAAAGATAGAGATAGACATACACTGGGAGATTGTAAGTTTAGCCATAAAGAACATATTGTGGCAATTTCTGAAATGAGTTTCAATCTTGTATTGTAATAACAGAGTAAAGGAGAATAATTTGTCTTGTCAAGTACTTCATAAAGTACTTGAACCCTCCAGTGTGGACTTTGACAAAAAGAGGCAATTTTTTAAAGCTCTGGATACAACTGTGATAACCAATAATGTCACGAATTTTTGTACATACGTTTAACTTGTTTTGAATATATATTATTTTAAACAAGTGGATTGTGTGCTGGCTGTTTATAGTTGAAATTTATTGACAGCAAGTCACAGACACCTACTGTAAAGAACTGCAGCCCTATAGAAACCTTACAACACTTAATAGCATATCACAGTTATTTATTTTACTATAAAGATCAAAAAGTCCCTGTGTTCCATTCATTTTAAAGCTGAATTATTTTTCTATCTAACAACTTGCTACAAGAAAAGGAACACTTCTGGGGCATAAGAGTAGGGGCTTCAGCCCATACATCCAACCCCTTTGCATGTCACTGCAAGTATATTAACTTCTTAACTTCTGCAAACAAAGGTTTTCCCATGTTATACCAGAAAACAAAACATTTTTTCTTTTGTTTGTTCAAGTTTAAGTGCATCTGTACCATAAATTCTGTTTAATTTGAGAAAGAGATAAGTATGATTCTTGTTTTTAGCTCTTCACAAATAATAAAAAAAAAAAAAATTTTAAATAAATTAACTCAATCTCTTGGCACTAATTTAGGCATCATAACTTGTATTTTTGTAAGGTTATAGTTAAAAATGTGCAACATTTTGATGTTTCAAGATTTGTATATGTAAGTACTTTCTTGAAATGCAACTAACAACCCCTGATGAAGAGTAGACAACAAATTTTGCATTAGAACGGTAATCAAGTGATTTTTAAATATAATAATTTTAACAGAAAACACTAAAAAAGCATACTGAAAATAAACATGATTTACAGAGTTTTGACCATTTTTCATCTTTTATCTTGGAATAGTTGATAATTTACAATTATAGGTTATGTGGCTTCACCCTCTCTTAACCTACTAAGGTTAAAATAAGTTTATGACCTAACTACTGAAATTAAGAAAATATTTTGTTCACCTCTTTTCAAAATATGAGTAAAATTATGAATTATGACACATAATTCCTTTTAATTTGATACAATACTTGACAACAGTATATCAGTTAATACATTATTGACAAACTGAGTTGGCCAAATGCATTTCATTTATCTATATTTGCCAAAAATAATGTTTGAAGAGGATTTTAAACTAAATACAGAGAGATTTATGCTTATTCAACGACTTAAAGAAACTAATCATGTGCTTTTCTTTTTGTTTTACCTCAAGCTGCTGAGCTTGACTGGCTACAGTTAAACATTGTTTACTTTCATAAAACCTGGATGAGTAGAGCAGATCATAAACTGTGTAAACAATCTGCCTGAAGACTCCAATAAGTATGAGTACCTGTTTGTTTTGAGTGGTCATGGTTGTAAAATTACTCGAGTCAGTATCCTCTATAGAAGAAGTTCCACAATCTCTTATACCAATGAAATCATAGTTGATGAGGTAGTTTTTAAGGTTGCCATGAACTTCATATGGAATATCCCAAGTTAGTAACAGGTTGTATGGATTAGGTAAATGATGATAGGTAAGATTTTGGACTGGACCTGGCACTGAAATGTTGGAAATATAAAACCATTAATCTATTTTAAAACAGAATAATTATAATAATTTACCTGTGCATCACAAAAAAAATCACATGTAACATTTTTAATACAAACATGTGTTTGTAAGTTTCTAGCATGCAGTAACAAAACATAAATCTCACTTCTGCAAAAATCAGAACACTACATAAATATTGTTGACCTTACCTGACTCTGGTGTGATGATATTTAGAGAAGCATAGTAAGATCCTAAGCCACTAGAGGTCAGTGGGTACAGCTGAAGTGTATAGTTAGAATAGGCAGTAAGGTTGGTAATTATAAAACTTTCTTCAGAACTATTTATCTCAACATGTTGTACCGAAAGGCTATCCAATGTCTTCCAAAACCGAAGTCTATAAGCCAATAGATGGCATTGCAAATCTGACAGCATTGGAGGCTAATAAGTAAAACAATAATATTATGATTCTGTATGGCAAAACTTTAAACTTTAAATTATTTTCTTCAGCACACCATAATTTAATCTCTACTAAAGACTAGCAAAACTAATGTTGATCAATTTTAGTTCAATTTCTAAAAAATTACACAAGCTGGTGGTATAAAAATAATTAAATTACATATGCAACTAATTCAAAATAAGAAAATTTGGTTGACTAAGATTCTGTTTTCATGTTTATATTCTTCTTGGGGTACAATGTATATTGATGATAATTATTTCGTAAAAGTATGAATAAACAGTTTTATATAGAATGGTTACAAACTTCAAATACTTTAAATTCATTAAAATTAAATAAAGATTTGCAATCATGAAAAATACTAAGTATTAAAAGTGGAAGTTTAAATATCAAAATTTCAATCTAAATTATATTACAACAAAGTTATATAGCTTTAACTGAAATGTTAAATTAAATGTTAAATGTTAAATTAAATATGAAAGATTTTTCCAAAGTCAGAACAGGGACAAAGGTGACTGGACAGTCTGCCTCAGCCTCTTTCTGACAGGAAAAGACCTACAAGTGTATGCTGGCATGACATCAGAAGGATCCTTTGAATATGACAAGCTAAAAGTGACCTTGCTGAAATGCTATGAACTTACCAAAAAAAGTTTTCATCAGAAGTTCAGAAAAGTCATACCTGACACTGGAGAAACTGTATTTCAGTTTGTGGCACATCTATGATGATACTTTACAAAATGGACTAACATGGACAAGTGTGAAAGTGTGAACAGTTCCATGATCATGTGCTCCACTGACATGTTACTGTTCCTAATAGATGGAGCACCAAGAGATGTGGACGAGATGATCAAGCTGGAAGAACAGTATATGGAAGCCCATGGAAGGAGTATAATTGGCAATTCCAGATCATAGTACCAAAAGAATACCAAACACAAGTGATGAAGTTGGCTCACGAGTCAATTGTGGGGAGACATCTTGGAGCAAAGAAGATGGCAGACAGAATCACCAGCAAATTCCATGGGCCAGGATCATCGAAGATGTTACTAGATTCTGCAGGTCATTTGATATCTCACAGAAGAGACAATCAGCAGAGTAGCTGTGGACTTGATCAAATCACAAGCATCCTTATCTGACAAAGGCAGCTTGTATGTGCTGACAGTAATCGACTATTCAGCACATTACCCAGAAGCCATAACACTAACAAAGATAGAGACAGGGAGAATAGAAAAAGCTTTCCTATAATTATTCTGCAGAGTAGGCTTCCCAAAAGAAATACTGAGTGAGAGAGGGACCCAGTTTACCTTAGAACTGATGTAAGAGCTGTACAGACTCATCAGCACGAGGCAGCTCTTTACCACCCCATGCAAACACGGCTGTCATGGACATTGCGAGAGAGTCAATGGAGTCTTAACGAGCATGCTGAAGATGATGTGCCAGAAGAAACCACCTGACTGGGACAGGAACCAGCATGCAGTATTATTTGGTTAATGAGAAGTCCCACAAATGTGAGTACAGGATTTTCACCCTTTGATTTGCTGTATGGAAGAACAGTACAAGGTCCGATGGAGATATTGATAGATATTATAGACAGGAGAAAAAGAGTAAGAAGTGAGGAACACATACCAGTACATGTTAGACCTCACAAAATGACTGAAGGAGACCTGTCAACTCATTCAAAAAATTCTTATGCAATTCGAGGCAGTCAGACAAGAAGACCAAGGATTAACGTTTCAATATCGGACAGAATGTCTAGGTTCTGCTACCTACAGACAACAATAAACTCACACCGCAGTGGAAAGGACCTTTTCAAGTACAGGAAGTGGTCAACAGAATAAACTATTAAGTTAAAATGGATGGGAAGACCAAGATCTACCATGGCAATCTGTTGAAGAGGTACTTTGAGAGGGAAGAAAACCTAACAGGTGCAGCTATTGAGACACAGATAGACATGGCAGGTGGTGCTGTCATAGATGCAGAACCAGAAGACAGTGACTTTGTCATAGAATATGAAGATGTATTAGACCTTAGACCACTGGATGGAGATGAGACATAAAAAGATGTCAAAATCAGTGAAGAACTGACTGGCAAGCAGAAGAAAGAGCTACAAGATCTACTGTGTCAGTATGCAAATATATCTTTACAGAGAGACCAAGCAAAACAGAACTTGTGCAACATAAGATTGAGACTACAACTAGGGATCCTGTCAAAGTGAATCCTTGCCAGATGCCCTATGCACTCAGAGACCTTATTAAGCAAGAAACCAAGGTAATGTTAGAAGCTGGAATTACTGAGCCTTCAAAGTCAAACTACTGTTCCCCAGTCATAATTGTGAAGAAAAGGGATGGCTGAAACTGTTTCTGCATTGATTTCCAGAAGCTGAACCTCAAGATGAAGTTCAACTCTTAATCTATGGACAACCCAGAGGCTATCATGGCAAAACTATATGGGGCAAAGTTTATTTTCAAGATCAGCCTCAGTAAAGGTTATTGGCAAATCCCAATGGAGCCAGGATCTAAAGAAAAGACAGCCTTTGTGACACCAGAGCTACCAGTTCCAGAGCATGCCACTTGGATCAGTCAACTCAGCAGCAATATTCAACCCAGGTCCAGCCCTTAGGAAGGGGATGCAGCAGGTATGAGGCACCCGAGCCCCTGACTGAAGGGGACCCCAAATCTCAATCAAATTGGGCCCTGTTTAGTTCATTTCACTTGTCTCTCAACACAGGCTAGGTCAATTTGACATACTAACTTTTAATATAGTATGTATATCTTCAACAAATTTGGCAGACTTTCAGAAAACATTGTCTTTCACATACAAAAAACATATTTTTAGTGAAGTATTTTGAATAAACTAAAAAAAAAAGAATTCCATGAATATATAGAGTATTTATCATGCGTGGTTATATATTTTTTGTCTCTAATCTCCCTCACTCTCACTCATACGTTATATATACAGTATATATATATATATATATATATATACACACATATATATAATTTAATGTACACTGTAGCAGGGAGATCCATCATTAATTATTTCACCTGGGCCCCCTGTACTCTAGGACCAGCCCTGATTCAACTGCATGATGAGAAAGATGTTGCACAGAGCCGTCAATGTCAAGCATTACATGGATGACATTCTGACCCATACAGCCAGATGGGAAGACCATCTGAAGTAACTTAGAGTGCTGTTTAGATGAGTTAGGACATCAGGCCTGGCCCTCAGACCATCTAAGAGCTACATTGGCTATTCTGTGCTGGACTTTGTTGGACACAATGTGGGTGACTGACAAATTGCCATGGAAGAAGAGAAACTAAACTGCATATAAGATGCACATGCTCCAATGACCAAACAGGAAGTCAGATCCTTCCTAGGGTTAGCAGGATACTATAGGAAGTTAATTCCAAACTATGCTGAATTGCTGCATCACTGACTGACCTGACCAAGAAAGGCCAACCCAACAAAGTGAAGTGGGATCAACCACAGGAGATGGCATTTCAGAAGATATAGGACACATTATGAAGATCGTCAATCCTTAAAATGCCAGACTTCAACAAACCATTCATCATTCAAGCTGATGCTTCAGAAAAAGGAATTAAAATAGTACTCCTACAAGAACATGAAGACAGACTGTTACCAGTAATGTAGATACATAAAAAGCTGTTGAGTAGTGAGAAGAATTACTCTGTGCTCAAATGAGAGTGTCTGGCTATTATGCAAGCCATCTGAACATTCCAGAATTAACTCTACAGGAAGTAGATCATCATCATCTCAAATACACATCTAGAGGTGCAAAATCGACAGCTTGAGGATCATGATGTCAGCATTATATCTCCAGAATTATCAGTTCTGCATTGAGGCCATCTAGAGAACTGCAAATATTGGTGCAGACTGTATGAGTAGACTTTGTACATGAACTGAGAACAGTTTTGTAGATAATAAAAAAATATTGTAAATATTTTTCTTGAAGAGAGGCTTATTGTTAATTATACATGACTGTTTTATTTAAATTTATTATGAGAGTTATTATTTAGATAGTTATAGAGTGTGAGTGTTGGCTTTCAAAGTTTGTAGCACATACTTCATAATTTAACGAATATTCTAATATCAAACAGTTGTGCATATTAACCCTGATGAAGCAGCAAAGGTGAAACATTGGTCGAAATAAAAATATATTATTTTATATTTATCTGGAGTGTAAAGGTTGTGTTTTCTAAACTTTCATCAAAATGTGAGTGTTGGGTTTAATGTTTTTGAGGGCAATGATTTATTGCAGGTTTGCTTACATAACTGTTTATGAATCATTTGTTGTGTACTTCAATTGTTGTAAATTAATGTCAGGTTACTCGAACCTTCTAAGTTTTTCTAATTGTTTCATTGAGTATTGTTACATCATAATGTCTCATAGTTTGTAGAAAGTTATAGGCAACAGTTGGGCAATATATATATATATATAAGTGACCAAGTTAAGCAAGTACATTAGTAAAAGTGAAAATGAAGTTATACTGCGTGTGAAATTTCTAAAGTGAGTTTTACAGCTTGTATTGTAATAACAGAGATGAAGGAGAATATTTTATCTTGTCAATAGGTGTTCTAAAGTAATTGAACCTGCCTATGTGGACTTTTGATGTAAAAGAGAATTATTTAAAACTGTGGATACAACTGTGACAACCCATGGGCTAATGTAAGTGAATTTATCACTGATTGTATTGTGGTAACAGAGTAGCAAAGAAATAATTCTTCTTGTCAATTGGGTTCTAAGGTAACTGAACCAGCCTGTGTGGACCTTTGTTGCAAAAGTGAATTATTTGAAGCTGTGGATACACAGGGTAAGGTGAATTTATCCCTGATTTTATTGTGATAACAGAGTAGAGAAGAAATAATTCATCTTGTCAATTAAATTTTTTTAAAGTAACTGAACCAACCTATGTGGATCTTTGACGAAAAATAGAATTATTTAAAGCTCTAGATTCAACTGTGGTAATCAATTGTATAAAGAACATTTGTAGCTAGGTTGACTTGTTTTAATATATTATTTTAAAACTAGTGGACTGTATGCTGTTTGTTTATTGTTGAAATGTATCACCAAAAAGTCACAGACACCTACTGTAATGAATTGCAGTCCATAAAATTGACACATATTAAAATAAAATATAATGATTTTGAAAAAAATAAAAGATACAACATTTTTAATATAGTTACATTTCAAATGAATCAAACAACCTGGAATTAACATGAGTTTTAAATTTTTGGGTACACTGTCTGTTGTAGAAAAAAAACAGGTGTTTTGAAATATTGTCTTCTACACTTGTGTTTTTTCTACAACAGGCAGTTCCACCCATTCCAGTGTACTGATTGTGATTACTCTACTTAAACAATCTATCAAAGTTTAACTATTTGTTTAAATATAAGTTTAATGACCAATCTTTCACCAGAAATTCAATTATACATTATATATGGGCTCAGTTACCTAACTTGTACAAATGCTCAACTACTTACCTTCCTCCAAATTTAACTACCTATTTTCTAGATGAGGTTAACATATATCATTTTACCTGTCATCTTTAAATAAGTTAAATTACATTTCTTGCTCTCCCAAGTAATCTAATTACATATAACACCATAGAAACCTATCTTTAACATTATTTCAATCACCAGTCTGTCAGATTAACATAAACACCTATCTTCCATGATTGACATACCTATTTTTCAAATGAGTTTATTTTTCACATAAATTCAACTTTTCTACTTTTCACATATATGAACTTCACTAACATAATTTCTAAGTCAGATGTTTTTAAATAACTAATTCCATATGAGTTTGAATTCAAATATCAAACATTCACATAAGTTTAACTTCAAACAAGTTTAACTACCTACATTCCAAAGTAGTTGAATGGATGTAGTATTGATCACCACACCATGAAAATCTTGAGGGATTCCATTAGGATTTGATTCTAAAAAAACAGTAAAAAACTTTACATACACAAGCAGACAAACATTCAATAAAACATTAATATATAAGTTTATCTAACTAAAAAAAAAGAAAAAGAGTTTCAGATATGAGAAATGCAAATAATTTAACATGTTCTGCCTAACAAAACTAATCCCAAAATTTCTAATTATTGCCTCTGTTTTACTTATCAAAAATAACAGATTTTAAGGTGTGAAGAAACAACTAAAGATAATCTCATGATCTAAACTTTTCAGTAATTTTATTTCATTTGTATTAAAATACATTATGTAAACAAATTAAAGAGAAAGAAAAAAATAATCAAAATAGCTTAAAAAGAAAGAAGGAACTCTTTATATTTGACTGGAAGTTGAGCAGGGAAATCAACTAAAAAGAAAAATAATAAAAAAATAGTAATAAGTTTGTTTGAAAAGGTAAAACATTAATTATAAAGGGAATAAAATGCAGTGAAGATTAAAAATGCCTGAAAGGGGTATATTTTTAAGAACAAACACAGACCAACACAGGCAGACCAAGATGTACTATGAAATAATTCATATGTAAAATGGTAAGAGATTTAACCCACATTTATGTAATAACTTACTTCCACATAATGTATGAACAGAAACACTTGGACTAGGTTTTCCATCCCCTCCACGACCTTGTCGTCGACATCTAACAGCCACTTCATATTCTGTATCAGGCAGCAAGTTTGGAATAGTGGCACTCAGTCCTGGTTGCCAGGAGTCTAGTTTATGCCACTGTGTTTCTAGCTTTTCACGATAAACTACCTAATGAAGTAGTGTAATCCACAAGTAACTTACCTTGAAGTTTTTTAATTCATAATAATGTAAAAAATAATAATAAATTCAAAACAACAAAACACTGTTAAGAATCGAGACAATTATATGAACATTGTGAATTTGAAAAATTTTAGCATGTTGCATGATTTGCTAGTTTAAAAAAGAAATAACTAAAGAACAGAATGTAGACAGTTAGTAGAATCAATGCTTGATCTTCCAGATTCCTTATAATAATGTCAGAGTGGATTTAATAGCAAAAGAAATTAATGAATTACATAAGTGTCAATAATTAATTAATTCTAAACAAGCGTTACTAGCAGTCAAGGCTGTAGAGAGTCTTCGAGAGCAGAAAATAATAGAAAATAAGGATAAATTTAACAGAAGAACAAAAAAAGAAAGCAGAATAAGCAGATGTGAAGGATTAGTAACATTGATCTTGCAACAATAACATATTACTGGTATGGTAAAAAATTTTCAGTGTTTGGAGTTTGAAAAGGCTATAATCGTTTCTTATCAGAAATGAGTAAACATCTTTTAAAGTGTCATTTTGAAAAAACTGAATAACTTACAAGAAATGTAAAAAATCATTTACTTCATGTACAAATTTAATTCTTAATTGAATACTTTAGTAAATGTTAAGCTACTTTTTTAAATTAAAATTTGAAAATGAAGGTAAATAAGATAATCAGGCCAAAGTGATAAGTGAAATGATGGAAAGACCCACTTCAACAGAATGTTATAAGTTGAGGACACATAAAAACAAAACATATTCCTATACATTTCTGCAGGAGTATATACCAAAATTGTAGGCAAGAAAGAACAGTATACATTGAATTCTTAGTTTTTAATATTGCACATTGAAGGATAAGTTCCCAATCTACTTGATCAGGACTGCCTCTGAGTAACTTGCAGGTTCATAAGTTCATGAACACTGCTCAATTAAATTTTCATTGAGTGCAGATAAGTGTTTACTGGTGAATGTATTATAAGGTTATGAGGATTCAAAGCAAAGAGAAAGATTAATGTTATACATCTTGAGAAACTCAATGCTGATTCTTCAGTGTTGGATGTAAGTTTTCAAGACCAGTTCAAACAAACACCAGTCTATTGAAACTGCATTTGAGCAGGTATGTGAGTGGGCCATGGGTAGAAAATTCAAGGAAAATTAGTCTGGAGTTTAAGGTTGTTATACATACCTCTAGTCCCTCTACCCCAACCAAATTTTCTCCTTGAATTTGCATTGATCTCGTCATTGAAGCTAGCTTCACCAGTCTTTAGAATTAGTGACAACATATGGCAAAGTTTATATGTTTTTAAAGATTGATTGTATTGACAGGTCTTTAATAGATTTTCTGTTTAAGACCTGTGACACACTGATAAATGATTACAATGAAGTATTTAAAAAAAGAGAGAGAAAAAGTTAAGTTTAATAAAAAACTTATTTTATACTTTAATGACCTGTGTGTATTTTAATCACAGAAATAGACCATGCCATTAAATTACATTTTTGTACATTTCGTATAGTAAAAACATATCAGTAACATTGCTGCATAATGCAACACTATGTTTTTCATATGATTGCTGTTCAGAAACACTTCCAATGATATAGCAATTTTATCTTATATGCAGGGAGGCTCTTATTTGTTCTTCCATCATTGCTCATTGCTCAAATATCTTTTTAGTGGAACAACTAATTAATCATGTATGGGCTATCAACCTCTTGGTTCTCAATTGTATGTTTACACTTGCAGGCACTGTATAGCTTAGACTATCATGAATAAGCAAATATGGAAAGCCCATGCTCTGATCAAAATTAATAAATATAAGACTGGTTTCTGCTGCCTGTCATAGTCAGGCCCTGACAAACGAACATACTCATATCCCCCACTTCAACAACTTCTCTTCAAGAATTGCATCAGTTACAAAAGTGATCTTTTTTTGGATCTAGATGCACAGAAATCCCTAGATCTACCTTGCACGTATGATTGAGGAACTTGACAATTATGTGGTCAAATAGGAATACTGTGTTTTCATTTTTTTCAGCTATCTTTCTCAAAAATACACATTAATTTTGAGGCATGACAGAAAGCTTGTGAGCCTTCATCAGTTTTTAATTTTTGTTGTTAATAATACCAGAAGATATACCCAAATTCACTGTAATGGCTTTTGTCTTATCTTTGCAGATGACAGCCATGTTGTAGATTGGCTTGAGATATGGCTTCGGAGACCATTAGTCTTATAAATATTCTGCTCTGCAGATTTTTCTAGTATTTGTTTTTAGCTCAACAATATTTAACAATCTTACTATATGGATATATTTCTTTGGAAAGGGTTGTGAAATATCCTTAGTGCCAGTGAAAAGAACACCCTCATGGCATTGCACTGTTGAATGGTTGAGATTTGCTGTGAAACAAATACAAAGGTACTAAATATGTCAATGATTGTACAGTTGTAGCAACACACCACTGAATTAGTAAGTGCAAGTTGTTCTTATCAAGTGTGTTCAACCTTCTGTATAAGGTAAATGTGGAAAGTGTGCCCTAGTTAGAAACAAATTACATTAAAACTCTAAGGATTTATTGTCCATTCTTAGAGGTGGTGCAAAAGTTGTATTACAGAATTTTGGATAAGCTCATAAGGTTAATTTGGCTGAAAAGTGAGAGAAGTATAGTATGATAATTGCACATTAAAGGTCTAAAAGTATGTAAAAATGCATTGCAGAGTGAAAGCAGCTTCTGAAATGTCCTACAGTAACGTAAGATGTATTCCAGATAATTCCATTTCTAGTTAATGTCATGTTAGCAACGGAAATTTGAGCATCTGAACTCTGACCATATAAGAATGAAGTTTTCATATACATTGCACTTGTAGCATAGTGTCATACTATGTTTTTTCTACCACTTTATTTAAAAGTTTTCATACATCTGGTTACAATACAAAATGTTTGTTATAAAGGTTGTTAAGGTCCATTTATTTGAGTTACCTTTTGTCCTGGGTCATTCACTTGTGTTATCACGTGTGCTTTCTTGTGGGAAAGAATTTTATAAAGTTGAAATTCCTATGTAGAAGTGGATAGTGATCTTTTCTACTGATAGGTCAAGTGATACCCTATGGATGTAACCTCCTTTATTATTTGATTGGTATGACTAACATTCACCTGAATGATGCATTCACCCTGAGAAGAATAGCATTGTTGTTGTTACAGGTATATTATGCTATGTTTTCTTAGTCTAGAACAGTTCACACAGATAGACCTCCAGTAAAGGAGATGTGTATTATATATTTGTCTTGTTTTTAACACATTCACTGACAAGGCAGCCACATGTGGCTGACATGGCTCAGTATTGTTCAAGCTGCTTCAGCCACAGATGACTGACAATGTGATAGAGAGCTCAAATGCATTGGTTGTTTGTAGCCAATGCTCTATATGATTATATATATTATTTGCTAAAAACAGCCTCATACAAACATTTAGTTTTAAAAGAATGTTTATACTGACCCACTTGTCTAAAAAAATAACTTTGTATTAACAACTTTTCCTTCTCAAAACATTGTTATTACTAATTTACTGGCAGCTGTCTTATTTAATTTCATATTACCCAACATTTAATATTACCCATGTTCCAGCAAGTGGAGCCAGTTGGGTATTGGAATATTTTTTTTTATTGAAATAAAAATGCACATTGAATATAAAACGACTTTCAGTAGATTTCCATGCTTTCATTCAGAATTTGCTGCTCATATCTACAACATTCATAACCTGTCTTGCATACCTGTTTATTTCATCAACAATGAGATTGAAAACTTCAATGTCAACAAACAATGAATATGCATAATAAGTAGTTATGTCTTCTAGTATGTCTTTCAATAGTTCTTCCTTTGCAGTAAAGGGAAATTTTTGCTGCCTTGAGAAAAATTCACCCCACGTTCCCTCTTCCAACTTGATTCCTTCTCCCTCATCATAATTTGTCTTGTCACAAGCTGTTCTAAAGTAACTGAACCAGCATGTGTGGACCTTTGATGAAAAAGATAATTATTTAAAGCTCTACATTCAACTGTGGTAATCAACTGTGTAAGGAACATTGGTATATACATTTGACTTGTTTCAATATATTACTTCAAAACAATTGGATTGTGTTTCTGTTTGCTTATTGTTGAAATTTATCACCAACAAGCCACAGACATCTACTGTAAAGAATGTGGCCCATACATAAACCTGAGAGTGGTTAGCCAGCCAGGATCTACAGTGTTGTTTATATCTACTTCTACCACCACTTACCAGTGGCAAATAGGCCTATATACACACAGCTGTAGTGGGGGTGAAAATATTGTAGAGGTCACAACCACACTATAAAACCATATTGACCAACTTTGATAAGTGGATAAAGAAGGGTGAGTGAAATGAACTTACAGATGGTGATCTGCAAGAGCTTGTTAGAAAACAAAAGACAGAGAGAATAGAGGGAGAGAGAAGAGCATAAGCAGAGAAAAGAGGAAGAAAGACTGAAAGAAGAACATGAGTGTAAAATATAAGTTGAAAAAGAAGAGAGAGAGAGAAGAGACTGGAAATAGAGAGAGAATAAGAGCACCAATTGAAATTGTCAAGATCACCCAACAGAAAGACAGAGTACCCAAAAATGACAATGAGGTCAGGGCCAGTCAACCCAAGCTGTCCAAATTCAAGGAACAGAAAGATGACACGGATGCTTTCCTGCAGAGGTATGAAAGGTTTGCCCAAAGTCTGAACTTGGATAAAGGCAACTGAGCAGTCTGTCTCAACCCTGTCCTCACAGAAAAAGACCTAAAAGACATAAGAAGATGCCATGGACTATGACTAGTAAAAAGTAGCTTTGTTGAAATGCTATGAACACACTGAGAAAGGTTTTTGCTGGAAGTTCAGAAAAGTCAAACCTGACACTAGAGAAACTGTATTTCAGTTTGTGGCTCATCATTGGGGATACTTCACAAGCTGGATTCACATGGCCAAA